TTATTATTATCATCACTATTACTATCATGACTCTTGTTATTATCGTTATCATTGTTTTCACTTTATCATTATTATCACCATCAACTTCACCATTATTATTATTATCATTGCTATTATCAGTATTTTTATCAGAAGCATCATTATCATGAATCTCTATTATCATTATTGGTATCATCACCATTGTTATTATTATTACCATAATGTTATTCATTATCATTATTATTATCATTACCATTATTGTTATTAGTACTGTTGTTATTACCATTATCATCTTTATCATTATTATGACCAATATTACTATTATTACTATAATAATTATCATCATTATTACTAATATCATTATCATTACAACTTCTCATCTCTGACACTGAGGTGCTTTGTCTAGATTCCAATATATACCCTCTTCTGTTTCCTTTTTAAAACAATTTGTTGTTCCAATATGTGGATTGTTAATTTCTTTTAGACTCTCGCTCTCCTGATCTTGAATGCAGGTACTGCTTGTACGCGGGGCATCTTGTTTATACGAAGCGCTGTGCACCGGTCATAGAAAGGTCAACAGTCGCCTTGTCCACATTCTACTCTCATCTGGCCTTCTTTTTTGGCATTTGGTACTTTTCTCTTTTTGTGTGTGTGTTATTCTCTTGTCCCTGACCCCTTCATCGCTTGGAATTACAATATCTGCCTCTTCCCTTATCTTCGACACAATGCCAGTTCCCTTGCCCCTATAATCTGATCGCCTGCATATAGTGTCCCATAAGATTCCCACTACTGGTCTGTGTTCATACCATTTGTTGTTTGCCTCTACCCGGCATTTGGACAGAGCTGCCAATGGACATGGTGCGCAACGATAGCATGTCGCCGTTATTGTTTACGCTTCCCGCACTCGCTAACCCGATGGTATACTGTCTCTAACCCCCCCCCCCCACACACACACAAACATTCTAAACGGAAGAGAATCAGTGGACTTCTCATTATGGAACCTTAGATAATTTGTTATGAGAGATTGCTTCTTTGCATCACTGCAGGTCATTTATCGTCAGCTATTGTCATGTCGTGACCCACTCAACCCTGAGTCTCTCTTATATATTTGCCCATGCATTTTCTTTTCTTTTCATTCAGTTTCAACTCACTTTATGGAGTTTTGATAAACCCGTGGTTATTTTGCATCGTCAGTTTGCTCCGTTCGTCTCTCGTCCCTAGCATTTCTTCGTTGTTATTCGGTATGTCTCACCAAAGATTATTTTCCGCTGTTCCTACACATCTTGGCAACATATGGACCTCTTTCACCGTCTCTTTCGTGATACATATATATAGTCTAGTTCTTTGGGTGCAATTCTTTGTATGATTTAACTATTATTAAATGTGTCGTTCTTAAGGTGTAATCATCCACACATAGTTATTTCCATGTATTCCTATTGCAGGGTTGAACAGTAGATAGCACACCTCTGATAGTCACCACGATCTCCCGTGGTCGCGCCCAATACTCACTTCGAACCTTTGGCGTTATGCATGGATATATATGTGTGTTTCTGTGTTTGTGCAATGTATAACTACAAGTATAAAGGAAAAAAATATGGCACAGGATTATTTAGAAAAACAGAATTACCTTCACATAAGGCTGATCATCTTGAACTCCTAACTAGAATCTTTATCTCCCTAGCATATTTTTGGGGGTCTACTGTGTTTTCAGCAATGTTTTATTGGACTTTAAAAAGGCGAAGAAGTCACTAGAAGACGTATCTCGGAAGTTGTACTGTACAGTTAGAATACCCTTCATTTTATCAACACGCAAGCTTATTCCATCCCGTAGTCCACTAGCATCTGCTAAGGGACTCGCTCTATACTTACATCGTGGGATGCTACATCAAAGGAAAGTGTGCAGTTCGAAACAAAAATGCCATTCATACATGTTAAGAATAACAAATGCTAATAACTGCATGTAGTTAATCTTTACAACAGCACTATACCGCGCAAGTTGACAGCATTTACTAGTGTACGAAAACTGCATGAGATATGTACGAAGGCATTTCCCATTGCAGACTGTAGATTTTTTACCTGGTGTGTGTGTATGCGTGTGTGTGTATGTGTGTGTGTGCGTATGCGTGTGTATGCGTGCATGTGTATGCGTGCGTGTGTATGTGTGTGTGTGCGTATGCGTGTGTGTGTGTACGCATGTGTATGCGTGCGTGTGTATGTGTGTGTGTGCGTATGCGTGTGTGTGTGTGTGTGTACGCATGTGTGTGTGTGTGTGTGTGTGTGTGTGTGTGTGTGTGTGTGTGTGTGTGTGTGTGTGTGTGTGTGTGTGTGTGTGTGTGTGTGTGTGTGTGTGTGTGTGTGTGATGGAAGCTGAACTTTAGGACTTTTGGAGAATATGCAAATTCTGAAACCCGAATCCAGGACACGGTAACCACGGATGTATGACAACCCTATCCTATCAAGCTGTTGAAGCTCCTCCTTTGCCCAAGGGATGACACCTGTTCCACATTACATCAATGGTTATCATGTAATTTTGGCATAACAATGAGTCTGAGTCTATGTACTCTGTTCTTAAACCTTCATTCCATATGTTATCCCTCCTCAGCACTTCTTCGTATCATTATAAGCCTCACCCTTCCCCTTTACTTAACTATCCTTTCTAGATGACGGCCACTTCGCAATTCTCCGTGCTAAATACCATGTCAGTACCACTGCTGTTTTTATCAAGCTATCTACTTCCCTCTCGCTCGCATAATTTCAGTGATGAAATAACACAGGTAAAATAAAATTCCTCTCAAGGAATTTGTGCAATATGTTTGAGATGATACCATTAATTAATTTCCACATGAGAGGAATGTATTCTCTTCGCCAACCATGCTGGAGTGGGACTCCTAACGCTGATCAGGTCATCCTGTTTTTCATTTCGTCTTTTACTTCCTTTGGCCACTTAGCGTTCCAGTTTGTTCAGCATTTGTTACCTTAAATTCCGGACAAAAATCTTTGCTTTCCTCCACATCTCGTATTGTTCCCTTATTTTGTGTTCTCCATTTATTTCTTGATAGATCCTCTTTTGCTGGTAAAACCTGTTCGGTCGATTTTGCTCCGGCGCCTATATTGATTCAATTCCGCTGTTCCTATCTATGACCTCTGATTCAGCTCTTCCAAGACTATGGTGAGGCCTTTCCCCTTGATCTCAAACTTTTTGGTTTGATGTATTCCTTTTTCGACATTTATCTCTCTGTGGGCTCCTCCTATGCTCAGTGGTGCCATTAATACTGATGTTCTGAAGCTCTCTTTGGCTTTTCCAGTATCGGCATATAGCTTTCCCAGACTAGCTGCTTAATATACATGCCGTCACTACTCTCTCCCTCAACCGTAAACTGACTTATTTGATCCTCAACAGTCCTCTCTTCAGCTGTTATATCTACCTCTGCCCACTCGACCTGTTCAAGCTGTACGTCTTCGCCCGCTTTATTCATTACACCGTGTTCTGTTTCTCTCCTGCCATCTGTCTGGAAACCCTCAAATTCTTCCAGTTTAATCCTCTTTCGTATTACTTGTTTGGTAGCATTCCAATCTTCCTAAATGCCCTTGCGTAGTCACGTTACTATCATCACGATTATTTTTGTCAATAGTATTATTTAATTATTATTATCATTATTGTTACTAATAGTTTATCATCTTTACCGTTATCATTATTTTATATCATTGTTATTCGTATCAGCATTTTATTATGGTTATGCATATAAGTTTTACTATTACTATCACGAGTATCGTTGTTACATATATTTTTTTATCATTACCTCTATTATTATTATGATTATCAGCATTGTTAATACTACTATTATTATTCTTTCCATTATTGTTATCATTAGCATTATTGTTATTATTATTATTATTATTGTTATTATCATTATTATCATCATTATTATCAATAATGTTATTATTGTCAATGATATTATTAATGTTCCATCATTATTATTGATAGCAATAATATCAATATTGATATAATTAGTTATTATCTTCATCATTGATATTATTATCATTATCATAATCATCTTTATAATGATTATTATCATCATCATCCTTATTATAATTTATTATCACCATTATTGTTATGATTATTATTACCATTATTGTATTTATGATCATTATAATGAATAATGATAATACTAACTGCTGTTATTATGATCTAGTGCTCCAGTTTGCATTGCTGGACATGGTACAGTAATAAGGGCAATGCGGCTGAGGAGGTCGGCCACGTCCTTGTCAGCACTTACAGAGGTTCCTCCAGAACTGCAACGTTTACTGAAGAGCGGGGCTCTGTGGCGCCGATCTGATTAGTCGCGGCTGCCCTCCGGGTCCGCCGTGAGGCCCGGGCGTGCAATTTTGGCAGTTGATGGAGGAGTCTGCTCGGGCGATTCTTGGGGTTACCTCTGTTTCACTACACTGATCTACTTGACGGACTCTGTAGCACTATAAGGCACCTACACCAGAAGCAATTTAGGAATCCACTGGCAGATTTTTCATCTCACAAAAATTACTAAAGGCCACGGATTTATGTGGCAGGACTCTTCAGGCTGGTGTTCGGGACGAAATCGATCCCTGGCGCAAAGGACTCGGGCACCGCTGAGGAGGAGCGTTTTGTGCAACTGGATCAGATTAACCTACAAGCATTCAGCATGGACATGGGTGAGGAACCGCTAACCATGATAGAATTTACAGAGGTAATACATGTAAGTATGTGTGTGTGTGTGTGTGTGTGTGTGTGTGTGTGTGTGTGTGTGTGTGTGTGTGTGTGTGTGTGTGTGTGTGTGTGTGTGTGTGGTGTGTGTGTGTGAGCAACAGTATGATAATCATAACATTCATGTAGAGACTTCGTCTGATGTAACTGCCATCTTCTTGACCACTTTTCAACCGTTCTTTAGTACAATTCCAATGTGGGTAATCACTCTCGGTCAAACGAGCAAGATGACGGATGTATGCGTGGGCATCCATCTAAACAGAGGCAATCATGCAACATAAAATTACAAATCTTTTACTGTGAACACATAACTTGTACAAAACAAGAAACATAAAATCAAATAATAAATAGCCAACAGACCGATAGACAAGAAGACACAGAGAAAAAGAACGAAAGACAAAGTGAGCAGAAAGACCGCAGACGGAAAGAAGGGGACACACAGAAAGAGTGAGCAAAGAGACGGGCTGACAGAAAAGGCTGTTCCGCCCCTGCTCCTAGGCCAGCGCGTAAGCGAGAAGGGCGCCCGCCAGTACGAGGGCGGAACTCAGGGACGCGGGCGCGGCGGCGTTGCAGTAGTCCCTGTCGCAGCAATAGATGAGCTGGGCGTCGGATGCCTCTGTAACACACCGAAAGAATTAGGGCATCATTCCTCACTGCTAAAAATTGCCAACTGATTGTAATAGAATGGTAAATAAATGGTAAAACACTCTACCGTGTTGTGTTGATACGTGGTAGAAAAAACTAGATTTATCAAAGTTGAAACAACAGTTTCGAAATCCTCCTGAATTCCATCTTCAGATCTGAGGGGGAAGGGGAGAAGAGGCAGTATAAAAGAGAGAAAGGAGAGGCAACGCGGTGAACACGTGGCAGGTGAGGGCCGGTGAATGGAAGCGAAAGGAGGTTAGCTCAGGTCGAAGGGTCAGGCGGTCTATGCGAAGAGTGGCCGGCATGAGGGAGAAGGCGGAGGAAGTGGGTAACAAGGAGGCTATCTGTAGGAGAAAAGCCCCTGTTCATGTTGAAATTAGGCAACAGCTTGATTAAGGAGGATTCCACCAGTCTGCGGAAGGGTAGACGATAGGCGCGGCTGACCAGTCCATCTGATGGCCTGTGCCCCACAGATAGCAAAAGAGAGCGTTGTTGTTGTGTTCCCTGGATACAGCGTATTTATGTTGAGAGAGACGCTTAGGGAGACTGGCGCTATCTCGCCAAAGTACTGCTTGTCACAGGAGGCAAAAGGAACAGCATAGGAGCCCACCTTCGAGGTAGAGGAAGGACTGGTGTGGACTAGGTCGCGACGGAGAGCGTTCACCTGGACAAAGATAAGCCTGCAGTTGAGAGCAAGAGAAAAGATCTCCTCAAGTGTAGGGTAGGCTGAGGACGGGCAGATGAGGAGTCTCTTTAAGAGAGTCCTGGTAGAAGGCACGCCGCGCCCAGGATAACGCGACGTCGAGAACCTAACGAGGGTAGTCCAGTTTGGAGAAAGAACGACGCAGGAAGTCAATCTCTCCATCCAGGTACTGGGGGTCACCTACTTTTACTTGGAGTGGATGGTACGAGAATAAGTGCATAGGTTTCCTGTATATGTAGGAGCGATGAACTAGGGTGTCTAAGAAAGAGAGTTTGTTGTCAACCTCTCATTCCACCTTGAAACAGATGGAGAGAGAGAGAAAGAGAGAGTTCGGCTGCGTCAGAAAACCCGAGAACAGGGCAGGGTCATGAGGCCAGAGAGCCGAGACGTCGTCGACATATCTCAGCCAAAGCGAAGGACGAAGGGAGATGGACGGTAGAAGCTCAGACTCGAAGCATTCCATGAACAGGTTTGCACCTTCTACCACAACTCCTTTCCAAAAGAGACTCCTCACCTCCCCGTTCCCGGCCTACCCTACACTGAGATCTATTCTCTCGGTCGCCCTCTTCACCCTCCCAACTGCAGGCTGATCTTTTGCTCCGCCACTCTCCGTCACAGCCTGATCCACACTAGCCCTCTTTTATACTTCAGACCTGAAGATGGAATCCAGGAGGATTTCGTAGCTGTTGTCTCATCTGTAATAAATCTAGATTGTGCATTGTGGGTTTTTCTACCAGATAAAGGTCACACGAGCAAAACAAGATGACGGATGTATGTGTGGACATCTATCTAAACAGAGGCAATCATGTTCAATAAAATTACAATTTTTTACTGTGAACGCATCTAACTTGTACAAAAGAAATATAGCGCTACTGATACCCAAATAATGCAAATTATTACGTGCATTTTGATTGAGTGCGTGCTCACGCGCGTTTGAGAAAATGAGACTACTTACGCTGGTCGCTCTCACTGACGGAGTTTTTGATGGCGTTCCACATGCTGACGGCGCCTCTCTCCAGGCCCCCGAGCCCACAAGCCCAGCTGTATCCGCATCTCTTTTCCACGCGGCCAGCCACGTTAATTTTCTGAAATATTACAAGCAAATCTTACACATGCAAAGATTCAGCAGAACCGGTCAATAGGAAAAAGAATCTGCACTGTATATATTCAGTCAAAAAACATGTAACGACCATCAGCTTATATATATATATATATATATATATATATATATATATATATATATATATATATATATATATATATATACATATATATAAATATATATATATATATATATATATATATATATATATATATATATATATATATATATATACATATATATATATAACTGTGTCCATCTACTCTGTGCTGTGTGGTAAAGCGGTAGCGATCTCGTTTAGCAATCTTGCTGACTTGCGATATAATCCCT